GATCATCTCTGTCCGCAACTTCACTCCGAGTCGCCAGGTGAACCCTTGGGCAAAAACCGAGGACAGGTTCTCGGACTCCTTGAGCCTGGACGCCTCAGGTTCGCTGGTACAGAGGCACAAGAAGATCCCGGAGCCCCAGAAGGCCCTCACAGTCATCGACGCCTTCGAGTCAGTTCGCTGGGCGATGGTCTTCGCGAGGTGGGGCGAAGAGTTCGTCATCGGCCAGTTGATCGACTTTTTCATTAACCTGGTCCGCGACAACCAGAACAAAATCCCGCAGATTCGCGAGTACTACCGCAAGACCTCTTGGGATTTGGCAATGCACATGCGAGCGGACGGCTCTTTCCAGGAGGGCGTAGAGAAGATCATCTCGAGCACCGAGCGCCGCGACGCCCTCGCTCGGTGGATGCCCCAGGAGGGCAAAGGCAAAGGCAAGGATACGGACGGCAAAGGGAAGACGAAGGACTTCACCAACAACGGCAAGGGCAAGTTTCGCTACATAGCTCCGTACGTCTCCCAGAACCAGACGAGGCCCCCGTGCAGACTGTTCGCAGCAGGGTTCTGCAAGTTCGGAAGCTCGTGCAAGTTCAGCCACAACCAGAACCACGGAGGACAGCACAGCCAGGCCCAGGCGGTACCGCCACAGGCCTAGGGACAACGCGGGGCGCCCGATGCCCGAGATCGGGCGACACCCGACAGAGGTTCGCTCGGGAAGCGCCCTTTTCCACCCTTACCTCCACCCCTTGGGCTCGGTTCTAGTTCCCCTCCGGGAGGTAACTTACAGGTAGCGACAGGCTCCGTCGGTTCAAAGACGGTGGAGCACCAGCCCGCACCGCTGCCTCGCCCGGTTGTCCCCCCTAGGTTCGGTTTAGCCCCGGCCCTAACCACGCCAGCTGTCCAGAGCAGTTCGCCGCCTACAGCACCCGCTCAGTCCGCAGCGAGCGCTAGAGAGCGAGTTGAGAAGCAAGCCTCAGGAGAGCCTCACAGTTGCACGACACAGGTCGCGCTGCTGTCCTTCTTCGACGGCATAGGTAGTGCACACCAGTCGCTTCTTGACCTTCGCATAGAGCCGCTGGTTTCCTGGTCGTGGGAGGTCGACCCCGACTGCAACAAGGTCGTCCGACAGAGGCACCCCCGGGTGGTGCTGCAAGGTGACGCTCTGTCCGCAGACCCTCGCAAAGCGGTCCAGGCTCTCAAGGACCAGTGCCCGCCAGAGACGTTCGTGGTGGTCGCTTGCGCACCTCCGTGCCCAGACTTTTCGCAGATCAAGGGCGACAAGGCCCTTGGTACAAAGGGCGAGGAAGGTCAGAAGTTCGCTCAGTGGGTAACCAACTGGTACAACCCTTTCCGGAAAATGTGCAGGTTTAAGTTTGCACTCTTGCTGGAGAACGTCACCATGGCCAAAGACACTCAGGTCGCCCTCGACGACTTGGTCGGAGTGAGGTCTTTTTTTGTGCGACGCAGCTTCGTTCGGCCTGGTCAGCCGGCCGCGCTTGTGGTGGTGCTCGAGTTTGTCACCGCCCGAAGCCGAGGCTAGTGCTCCGCCCGAGGTGGCATCGGGAATGGCCAGGTGGAGAAGATGGAATAGACAGTGGGAGTTGGTTCCTGCGAGCTCTCGTTTTCCCCGCCAGGTCGCTGCAGAGTGCAAGTTCGCCAAGTTCAACGAGAAGGTAGAGAGCGGTTCGGTGCGCTTCCCTTGCTTGACTACACCCGCGCCAACCCCAGAAGGACGCCCGCCGCCTCCGAAAAGGAAGCGGGACGAATCCCCGCAGACTCTTTCGAGGTGGAGAGCCGACAACCAGCAGTACGCCCCGTGGCAGTACAGGGACTACGCCTTAGTCGAGGAGAAAGGGAAGGTCGCGCCACCGTCTGCTGCAGTCCGGGAGTTCCTCCACGACTACCCGCCGGGATACACAAAGGCAGTCCCGGAGAGAGCCAGGTGTACGCAACTGGGGAACTCTTGGCACTTGCCGACAAGCCGTTTCATCCTGTTCGTTGTCTTGCTCACAGCTCAGGTTGTAAAGGTCAAAACTCAGGAGCCACACGTCTGGTACGAAGAGAAGCCGTTCCCTGTGTTCGAGCTCAAGTTCCACCCCGACGGTTCGAGGCCACTTCTGAGGGCGTGTTCGTGGTGGAGACGTTTTGGTCGCCAGTGGGACCCTAACGAGCCTCAGGCCTTCCAACTGCAAGGCCCTCTTCACGACGAGAAGGAGCACGTGAGATGGTCTACGTCCCTGTCATGGGAACAGGCTTTCCCGATCAACCTGAACCCATGCCTCGAGTTCGCAATCGAGCAGCAGGAGAGAATGGGGGGAAAAGTCGTTCAGTGGCGCGAGACAGTGGTCGACGACGTCCAGTCCCTTGTCGAGGAGCTTCGAGAAGACCAGGACGAGTGGCTGTCTCAGGCCCCCGAACACGTTCAGCAAGTTTACAAACAAGGTACGCCGAAGTTCGTGGTTCAGTTGCTCGCGTTCGCTCACCTGCTCCAGCTCTTAGATTTTCCAGAGTGGGAAAACCTGGTCGCAGACTTGTTTTGGGGTTTTAGGCTCTTAGGACCGCTGCCGCCGGGAAGCTCGTGGCACCTGCGACAGGACAACAAGTACTCGAGCCCATGGTCGCCTGCGCAGTTTCAGTCTTTCAACATGGCGCATGTTGTGAGGTTGCTGGCGTCCAAAAAGGAGGACGAGCATTCGGCTACCATGAAGGCCGAGCTCCTCGAGGAAGCACAGAAGTCTAGGTTCGCGGGCCCCTTCTCGGCGCAGTGGCTAGAGTCCCAGGCCAAGTCACACCGTGTGTTCGCAGCAAAGGCTTTCCCAGTGGTCCAAGGTCCCAAAGTTCGACGAGCCGACGACTGGCTCCGAAGTGGCCATAACGCGACAGTATGGGCAGGCGACACTCCGCCGTACCAAGGAACCCCGACGATCATTTCGGGCATTCGACGGGTGGCCAGAAGCAGTTCCCCAGAACTTTCAGCCGTCGACCACGAGGGCGCCTACCGGAACTTCCCAGTTCGCTCTCCGCTGGAGTGCGCCACAGTTTTGCCAGAAGAGGGCGACGAGAGAATCTGGCTACACCGAGTCCTTCCGTTCGGATCCTCGGGGTCGGTGTGGAGCTACATCAGGTTCGCTGATGCAGTGTGCTTTCTGTCAATCTCGCTCCTCATGTTGGCCGCAGCTCACTTTGTCGACGACTTTTACAAGTTCGAGTCGGCGAAGACATCAAAGCCTGCGTTCGCCTCCTTTCAGAAGCTGCACAGAATTATTGGCACCAAGATGAAGGAAGCCAAAGCCAAGCCCCCCGATCGCAAACAGACGCTTCTAGGGGTGGAGTGGACCATCTCAGATGACGAGCTTCTGGCGTCGCCGGGCCCGAGCAGGATCGAGAAGCTGGTCGCCCGGATCAAGGAAGTCCTGGCCGCCGACGCCCTCTCACCACAGGAGGCCGCAAAGCTGGCGGGAAAGTTGAACTTTACGTGCTCTTGGGTTTTCGGCCAAGCAGGGAAAGCACTTTTGAAGCCTTTGTTCGCTCGCCAGCAGTCGGGCATTCACAAGCCTACGAGTTTGAGCTCGTCACTTCGGTCTGCGTTGAAAGAACTGCAGAAGTTGCTCCCAGAACTGAAGCCTGTTCGCATTCCGTTGAGACCCCAGATGTGCAAGTGTGTGTCTTGTATGCGGACGCATACATAAACATAGCAGGTTCGCGAAGGGCAGCGAACCGGTGGCTCAAACAGGGCATCCCTCATGATGTTCTGCAAGAGAGTTCGAACGGATGGGGAGCCATCTTTCTTCCGCCATCAGGTCGCAGATTGGCTTTCCGGTCAGAAGTGCCTAATGAGGTTTTGAGAAAAACAGCGACTTCTAAGGCGTTCATCTTCTGGCTGGAGATGATGGCCCAGGTTCTAGCGGTGCTCACGATCGCAGAGGGCATCCAAGGACACGTGCTTTGTTTCGTTGACAACTCAGCAGCAGAGCACGCGCTGCAGAAGGGCTTTTCGCGAGACATAGCTTTCACCAAGGTGCTAGGTTGCTTCGCTCGCCACATGGCCGCAAAAGGTTTAGTACTGTCGTTCCACAGAGTCACTTCGGCTGCCAACGTGTCTGACGGAGTCTCTCGAGACGACTGGTCTGCGGCAGCAGAGCTCGAGTGCAAGTTCGCGAAGTTTGACTTCTCCAAGGCGTACAAGTGGTTCCGAAAACTCCCCAACTTAGAGGAATCGGCTCTCTTTCCCAAGTTCGTCAAGTTCGCCGAGCACTTGGGCGCGCAGGGAGTGGGGGAACAGCGCGCGTGAGTGGAGTGAGTCGCGCTGTTCGTACAGAACACAGGCCGCGAGCAGGAGGCCCTGAGGGCATTCCTGGTCGCAGACCGAAAGACCGCCCCAAGACTCTCGGGATAGGGACCAAAAGTCCGCATCGAGGTCTAAGCGAATGCCTTCGCTTTTACAGTTACGGAGGGGTGCTTGTCCTTGTCATTCAACCAGGATGTTATCCCCCCTCCATCCTTGCGTCAGTCAACCCGGTCGAACCAGATGTCCCCGGCTCCTCAACCCGGAAGCTCTTGAAACCCCCCCCTCGCCAGGCCCCGCCCACCCATGTGACGTGCCCTGGTTATTGTGTAGTCAGTGAAGGATGTGGTTCTTGTGCTGTCAGACGACCGGTCGTTATCAACCCCCCTCAGCAGCAGGCGAATGAAATGGGACGGACCTAAGCTTCACAAAACCGAAAGGTACGTGCCATCTGTGACTTCCCAGCGTCTGGTAGGGAAGCTGGGCGAGGTCACAGACGACGGGTTTGGGTTCAGGTGGCATGGCAGGACTACCGCACGCCTGCCAACATTTGGTTACAGGTGATGGGCGGGCGCTCCGAAGAGTAGGGAGCAAATGACCGGAGTGCCGTTTTGAGCATATGCGAGAAGTACTTATAGAGTTCAATTTGCTGCATGTGTAGCCGCTGATGTCCACGGAATGTCATGTCGGGGTCTCCGTGCGCGGATGTGCTGCTGAGGAAACCGCATAATCACACCATCTCCGTGCAGGAGCCACAGTCGTTTATCCGGGATCGGCATTCCCCAAAATCTTTAGCATTTCACAAGGTGTAGCCAGATTACGTTGCCAGTGGTACTGGGAGTTCTTTCGAAATTAGCTGTATCCAGGCCGTACTAAGGCGGAAATCATGAGTCAGTGCCAACCCCTTTGGAATCACTCGACTCCAGACCTGGAATCCGCAAACCAGCTGCAGCAATCCGAGTTTACAGTTGAAGAGCTTGTCGTAACACGGCATATCACGGCGTAACCAGACGTTGCACCTCGGGACAAACCTCGGGACTTTTTTGAGGTCGGACCTCGCCTTCGTTGGAGGGTATCATGGCTTGGTCGACTTGAGAGTTGGCGAGATTTCTCGAATTCGTGTGGCCCGCAGACGCCTCCAAACAGTTTCAAACCGCACCCGCTGCACGAGAATGAGTGTGGTACATTGCACAGGTCAGGATGGAAGAGGCGTCCAGTTGAAGGACGGGTCGGAGATCGATGTTGGCCATGAGCACAGCTTGGCACCCTTCGACAAAGTCTCGTGAAGTTGCAGTCGTTCCCGCGGCGGCTGAGATATCATCATCAAGTGTACCGGCTTCCATCTCAATGACGAAGTTCCGCAGGCATTGCCGGTGGAGCTTTTACACTGACTGGCGCGTGTAGTGCATGGCAGGTCGTGGGCAGCTCGATGATGCAGTCATACGGGCTCATTGACTACAACCTCAACTACCAGGTACCCCGTTCGGAAGAACTGTGCTCCGGCCTTTGCCAAAGCTGCATATCTTTCACTGCCCAAAGCCTCTTGTATGTTCCGGGGTCCCTGCTCGGCTGCTCACCTCTTGCAAAAGCACGGGCATGCAAGTCTGCACACCTTTTCGGATTGCAATTAATCAGTCAGAGATGTAGGATTCTGTTCGGAGGCCGAGCCCCTCCTCGACCAGGGGCAGCACATTGCTTAGCAAACTTGGAAATTTTGCCTTAGGCCTGTTGCGAGATAAGGAGAGAAGGAAGCTTTGAGTGTGGCCGGACATATGCACAGGGTCACGGGCAGGGTGGACTTGAGGTTTGGCAGCGCCAAGTCGACGGATGGTGAAGCCGAAAACCCTGCCATGAAAGATGCTTTGTGGCAGTTCATGGGCATGGCAAACACATCACAGCCAACCAGGGTTGAGTTCGGCTGTCAGAACCAGGAACTCATGGAATTATACCACACGAAGGAGTTCGCCAGGCCGTACATACTCTGCCACTGCAAGCTGGACGGCTACTTCGTCAAATAAACGGAGCTACGCAAGCAGCGAGTGCCTGATTTGGCGTGGTAGGGGCTTGGGGCTTGTGATGATGCTTCGGGCGGGCGTCTGCAGGGGCCTGGAGATTTATCGACGCATTGGCCTGGATGAGGCCTTGGAACATCTGGCTGACAGATTGCTTGCTGGTGCACGTTGCTTCTCCAGGAGCCGTTGAAGCCCCAGGGCAACCCATTCGGCTCAGGCCAAGGTGGCCCCATCGAGACCTGGCTGCCCTAGGGCCCTAAATGGCCCTATTTAGGGCCTAGAGCAGAACTTTGCTGACGATGCTTTGATGCCGCACATGCTGTGAGTGGACTTAAGGATTGTCTCTCGTACTACTTTGCCTGGCTGGTCGCAGACTTATTGAGATCAGCCAAGCAATGCCCAACCATTGACCAACGGTTTGCCGGTAAAGCACAGAAGGTGGATCATCCAGAAGAACAGGCTGCGGACGTTTGGCTGTGGGGCCGTGAGAGCTTTAGTGCATGGAGGAGGTTGCCAACGGTTTCTGCTGTTCAGCTTTTGGTTCCCGGTTCATGCTTTGGTCCCGTAGTGCTGGATACTTTGGACCAATTGAGTGTTCTGAGAACCGGTGCCAGGCGGCCCTGCTGAAGCACGGCGGGCCCCCTTCACAGGAGATGTCCGGCACACCCACAGCCCCACACACGCATCCTGCTCTATCGTAAGTGAATGTAAGGGAGAATCGTGCAGGATTTGTTCCTGCACTATGCGCTGCACGCGTGGTAAGACCCCGAAAATTGGGCAGAGGCGCTAGAAGGACTAGGACATCTGCACAAGGATTGCAAGGGAAACGCCTTTCACCCAGGTGGTTGCTCCAGTGCATCGACTGGTTTTATTGGCTACAGTGCAAGTTTCTGGTCGCTTGAAGGTGAAGCCAAGTTGTCTCTGATGCTGGGCAGGGGTTTGCTGAGTTGCTTTAGGCGGCTGTGAGAAACACCTTAGTCGCGCTTGGTTCTTTTCATTTTATATATTTTGATTATTTTGGCTCTGAAGAGAGAATATTGGAGTACAGTGGAGTAAAGCTCGACAGCACCGGCTAAGACTGACACATCATACGTGTCATGTCCGATCAAGGCACCCTCGATTTGTTAATTTGAGAGTACCCTCGATTTCTGTATCCAATTTGAGGAGCGCGTGCCTTTATGTGTTTTTTGCTTCGCACCCTGAAATAAGAAGTCTCCCCTCAGACCTGTGGCCCAGGGATTTGAGTTGCCATTCGGGAGATTCTGAGATCCTCCCGACATGAAGAAATTGAGGGACTAGTCTTGCTGGCTTTTCGCATACCCCTTAATGCAATGATTTGTCAACGGTGCTGTCGCTATTGTCAATATGCTTGTTCTGGTTGGTGTTGTGGAGTTGTTGTTTGGAGTTGTGCTCTTAATGTGTTACGACTCATACTTCCCTGAACTTCTCCATGAAGCTGCTCGTGTAAACAAGCAGTTTCTGCGAACTTTTTGTAACTTACTGCTGCTGCCCGACTACAGTCTTCCGTGCAGAAGCAAGCTCAGCAGATCCTTCTTGACAGCTTCAAGAGAGCCAGGAAGGTCTTCCGAAGGTGGGCAGAGAGTAAGCGAACAGTTTTGAACACGAATCAAGCCTGTGCAGGAGATGGTGAAGCTCCAGCCTCAGAATACTCGCATTGTCCAGACTGGCCTAGATCACCAATCGTTAGCAAGCGAGAAGTGGCTGTCAAGGTTGTGGTCCAGCGCGATTGGCCAGAACAATTCTACAACACTTTTGAGGTGCTCGGGACCAATGTGTCTCAACCGGGTTCTGCGAAGTCGAACAGGCTGTGCCCTGTGAAGGCTCATCTGCGCGTTGGCAGAGCTGGAGGAGCCGAGACTGAAGTGCAAGACAGCGACCAAGACAGCGAGCTCCAGAGTTTGCACTGCACTTCAGGCTGACCACAAGGAAGTGAGCCGAACTGCGCTGTTGTTTCCAGGGCAGGGCTCGCAATATGCAGCTTGACCGATCAACTTGCTATGGGTTTCGTTTGAGCACGTTGAGGCCGGAAACAGCCAAGGTCGGAATGCTTTCCAAATGCAAAGACAAGCCGAGTGTGCGGAGCATGATCGCATCAGCGAATGCAATCCTGGGCTACGACCTCTTGGAGGCTAAGCCCATGCCTTTGTCGTGTACACCAGCAGTGATAGTGAGATGATGTTGTCCGAATGCTGCTGGCAAAGTCGTCGGACCGACCCCGCACGACTCTCCATGCCACCGCTTTACGCCAGCTTCGCTACCTACCTGGTCGGGTGTTGATATTTTGCCTGGGGTTTCGGTGCTGCCGTTCGTGCTTGGTCCGTCGATGTTTGTCGGACATGTTGGCAGTTGCAGTGGTTCATGCTCTGCTGCAAAGGGTGTCATCTAAAGTGAATCTAAACAAGTAATTCGTGCAATAGTTCGTTCAAGCTAGTTCTGGCTTGAACCTTTGCTTGCCTACTGTTACTTCGGATACTTGATCACCACCAGAGCCCCCAGTAAGTAGACTGCGGTGGTTAGCAGCTAGCACAATGTCAAGATACGCATTGAATCGTGCAAAAAGCCTTGCCAACAAAGAAGCAACGGCTCTGTACGATTCTCCAAGAACATTGCAAAGAAACACGCCTGATCGACATCGCCCGGAGAGAACCACCGAACCTCAGCACATGCGGTTTCCAAAAATGCTTGCCTGCGAACAGTTACGTCAGGCTAACCTTATGCCATTTTCAGACACTACTATTTCTCCAAAGGCGTGCGCACGAACTCTGCAGGTATGTCTCCAAGGGCCAGAAGCGAAGCTGGAGGAGACTAGCGTGTGTCAACCAGCCATGTTCTTGGCAGGCGGGTCGCTACGGGGGTTGCTTTGCAGACCGCCCTCCCTTGAATCTGGCTCTATGCAGGCATGGCGGCTCTGGAAGTCTTACGAGAAACTCGCCCCGAAGCCGCGGACAAACCACAAGCTGTGGCTGGCCTTTCGCAACCTTGCTTGCAGAGAATAAGAAATTCGGGACCTGCATGCCTGCGTGTGCCTTAACCGTCTTTGGGTGAAGCAGACCCAGCGGGCAGCTGAAGTCTGAAGAGTTCCTTTGTCAGAGAGCCAATTCGGGGGGGGGCATTGTGGGGGGGCATGAGGGAACCTTCTTCGGACAGCGGCCGGTTATTCCAGACACTTACAAAAGCGGCAGCTTGCAGCCTGTGCTTTTCAATCTGATCTATGCTTGCCCAAGCCTTGTCGTGCGAGAGTGAGAGTCGGAGCAGACTCGTACGTTTGCTGCGTAAGGATGCGGCTGTCTTTGCCCCGAAGTTCTATTTGTGGCCACCACTTTCAAGCTTGTTCGTTTCACGTTGCTGGTAAGATTGCTCACACTTCGCACCTTTAGCGGATTCAGCTGCAATGCCCGCATCAAAACATAGCATCGGAGTTCAATTATAGAGAACTGACAGTAAATTACGATGCGCCTTTGCACCTCTTGGCCAAGGCTTGGGGAATACTGCGCTCTCTGTGCTGCTGGAGTCCTGGAGTTCGAGGATGCGATGAAGCTCGTCATGATCAGAGGCCGTGCCAAATTTTGCTGCCTGCGACGTGCAAAGGTCTCTTTTTTTGATCTGCTCGTAGGAGCTGCCATGGCGGAGGCTGCAGCAGCTCGGCCACAGGCCCGAGCACATCGTCACGGAGCAGACGTGGAAACGGCTGATCGTGGTCATGGGCCATGCTAGGTCTGCTAGGTCATAGGCCTTTCTGCTCCCTATCCCTCTCCCTAGTAGGGATGGGAGCATGTAGTCGGGGCATCTTTCACTGCAATGCAAAGCAATGCGAAGCGAAGCTGGGCCGTGGGCTTTTTGAGGCCATGCTGTCCATCGCTGGCCTGAGTGAAGATGTCGTCACTGAACTGTGCAAGCGTTCGCTGCAAGCAACGCACGCGGAGGGTGGAGTCTGTCAGATCGCGAAACTTCTCCGCAGCTGCACAACGTGTCAGCATGATGCAGTTTTTCCTGTGACTTAAGGAGTTGACGCGCTTCTTATGCACAACTGAGGAATGTACTGTTCAAGAAAGGGTTCGCCTGCGCGGGAACCAAAGAGGCAATGGAGAAGTTGAAGGAGGCTGCTGAGAAGGAGAAGGCAATGCAGGTGACCTCCCCAGCGGCCCCAGCGGCCCCAGCGCCAGCAGTGCCAGCGTGCTTTTAGCGCTTGTTCTGACAAGTTCTTTTCTCCTGCTTAAGGCCAAGCTCATTAAGACATCAGGAGGATTTCACACAGTGCCCAGCTCAGAAAGCATGCGCTTTGGAGCTCGATGCACACCATCATTGCACGTGCTGGCGCCCGGCGTCAAAACACTCAATGATACAAAAAACGAGACTGCAGTTGTGGGAACCCAATTGCATGTAGTGTTAATCTCGGCAATATGGGTTCTACGCCAAGACAACGCGCCCAGCGCTTTACACAATGAAACAAAACACTTCTTTATACTTTTCGACGCTTCTGCCACACCTCGAGCCCAATTTCCGACACGCGGTACAGCGGGCACAGAGCATGAAGGTCTTCCGCACTACTCGGCTGCTCCTCGCAGCAGTGCTCATGGAGAGGCTTGACAAGAATGACCGTGCCAAAAGCAGAAAATGTGAAGATTGAAGGCTAGAACATCTATTGCAAATCGAGATGTTTACGTGTCAGAGACTGTCTATGCGCTTAAAATTCTTGAATGCCCGAAGCCGGCTCGGCTGCAATAGCTAAAGCGGTACCACGACACAGCTCAAAACCGGAGTTGGTACAAGAAGACTACTTACAGCAACGTTGCATCAAAACCCTAGGCCCTATGCCACTATGCAAAAAAGCCTGCGGAGCGAGGATACCCGAAGGCAACAAGCCAGGATTTCAGGATGATTTGGAGGTTGCTTGTCGAGAATACAGCAGGTTTGCGGGAAATCTAAAGGAAAATAAATACGAAGCAAATCATGGGAATGTCTGTTTACAAAATCTCTCCTTTCTTCTCACCCCTCTTTAAGAACAATAAAGGAAAAAAGAAGAGAGGAGGTAGAGAGGGAGGAAGATTACTTGGTCGGGATCATCAGCCTAGCAGCCTAGCGCAAAGAAACGGTTAGGACTCGGCCCTAGAACTGTGCTAGGCCGCGGCTTGGTTGGGAGGTTGAACCGAGCCTTTAAAGCGGTTCCAAACATCAGACAGCTACAAGGGCCTGGTTTGATGCCAAAATCCGAGTATGTAAAATCACAGCGAAGCCCGAACTTCGAAAGCTGTGTGACAGTCCGCTTTGGGGGTCGCTGCTGCGCCGATTATTGCGACTTTCACACGCTATCACATGTCCGCAGAATGCGATTCTGCTGGAGGGGCTATAGACAAGGGCTGGCAAGGCTTAACAATCTGTCGGGCTGGGCCCCCGGATCAATGCAAAGCTCGTGGGGTAAATCAAGCGGCCAGAGAGTGGGAGAAAAATAGGGGATCGCAACAGAAGAGGGGTGGAGCAAACCTTTGGGGTGGGGTTGCAACAAAAGCCTCGTCTTTTGTGAAACACGCTGCAGAAAGTGCGGCGTGCGGCACACAGATCCAGGCAGATTTTGTTCAATGTTGAAGAAAGCGCGGTGGGCGGTGGCTTCTTCGGGGTCCCCAACCCGAAAATTAGCCTCCGGCGCTGTTAAGATCCAACCGCAGGGTCTATGTAGAAGACGTGTCGAGAAAAGGTGCTGTCTTGGGAGAGCGCTCGCCCTCGGTCGATGAAGTTGCGGAGTGCCCGCGGCCCAGGACCGTTCGCTTTTTCGATCTTTTTCGAAACCCACACTCGCAATTTCGATTTAAGTCGTGCTCTCACCCGGGTTCGCCAAATGCGAAACCATCGTCGATTTTTTGATGTCTGGCTTTCGTTTGACGGCTTCGTGGTTGCAGGGCTTCAATTGGCTTCTATTGTGTTGCTGCTTCTCGCTTCTGTTTTCCGCAGCCGTTTGTACTCATACTGCCGGCCGTCGTTCTTGGCGGCCGTGTCGAACTCGTGCGAACTTGAATTAATTTAATCTACTTCAACTACAGTGGATTGGGAGTCCTTGGAAGGCTGGCCACAAGTGAGTTACTCTAGCAAGTTAAAAAATGCTTTTATCCACAAGGATTGGGCCGTATCCCAAAAGAAAACATACAATTTACAATTGTTTATAATTGCCTCACGCGACTTTCCGCACCTGCGTGAGATCGCTGAATCATTCTGTCATCAGCCATGCCCTGGCTGGTAGCTCCCAAGAGCACCTGGGACCTGGCGATTAGACTGAGCCACAGCAGAAATCGCCCCTGGGTAGAGCAGGTGGTGAGACCACACGTTCGGGGAGGAGCCTAAGGCTAGTGAGTGGCTAGTGGCGGCGTCTTGTTGCAGGCTGTTTTGCAATGGGCCCGCTCGGGTACGATGTTTTTGCCGCAAAACTGAAACCGCGACATCCCAAACTCTGCTCGCTTGAGTTTTGGACGTTCGCGAAGTGGGAAACCGGCGGCCGTTCGGCAGGATGGCGGGTAATGACTCGGTGGCCGCGGCCTTTCTTGGCCACAGTTTTCCCTCCCATCCCCGCGGATCTTACCCACTAGGTTTTGCTGGAGTTGAACACAACTTGAATGACCAACTACAAACCTTTGGCATGTCGGTACGGCTGTGATTGTCACTGTTGTAAGCTGCATGGAGTGGTGGCGATGGGCAAGTAGAGTGCGAGAAGTATGACAGGAATTGATGCAACCAGCGAAGAAGACTCTTGATGCGGCTTTGGAAAGCATTGCTTCCAGAATGAAGCCGCCCCGCTGCGATGTGCAGCTCAGCATCGAGAAGCCTCATTCGGCTTGCCTTGTCATGCATCGCTGGAGATCGGGGAAGGTAGACTACCCATGTCCTTGCCAATGTAAGAATAGCCGAGGTACATGAACGCGACTGGACAGCTGCTTGGCCTGTTCAGAACGAACATGCGCAAACTCTGCCCGACTCCGTGCTTCTGACCAGGAAAGTGGCAGCCGGCACCCCTCCCCAGGAGCCGAAGCTGTTTTGCATCATGTGGTATCATGTGCCACTGAGATTCTGGCGTCCGGCAGTCCGGCAGGAGATTGTGCCGCTCTTGTCCAAGCAGCTTTGTTCCCGAGTGCTTTGGGAGCCGAGTGTACAAAGGACGCTGCGGGTCTGTGAGTGCAACTGCAACTGCATTGAACTGACGGACTCCTGCTGGATCAGTTTGCGCCTGTGAGGATGATCGACGATGGAATTGAAGAGTTTTATGAAGTCGGTCCTGACAAACAGTTGCCCCCTGTCCGCGAGCTGGATGCCCTCCACCTCTTCTGGTGCCCGCTTGCTTTCTTTCGATGTCTTTTGTTGCAGTTGGATTTGAGAAAACACAGCTTGGGCCGAGGAAGGCAATGATGAAACGGATCGATCAAAGCGCGTGGAGCTGCACGACGAACGTGGACGTCTGATGAACGAACCCCAACACCAACATGGAATGTTGCAGCCGCTGCCGCCCGAGTACAACTCTTGGCCTATCTTCCCGACGTGTAAACTGAGGCGGCTCTTGGTAATTCCCTTGGGCATAGTAGTAGCTTTTTGAGTTCTTGTTGACTTCGACGCATTGAGATTGCAGGTGATCCAGGCGTACGACGCCGTCCAAGCATTCGGCTGCCAGCCATGTCTGTACAGTCGTCGGTGCAGCGGCGCTCGACCGATTGCCGAGCTGCGCAAAAGCCGCATTCTAGAGTCAGCACGACGTTTGTGTGTGAGGCACGCAAAAGAGTACTTGGATTTGTTGGAGACGTGTCGCAAGCAAGGAGTCCCATTACCGCCGTTAATGCCAATTGAGCAGGACATTCCCTTTAACCCGTGGGTCCTTTGGCGGATCCAGGCCTTGAAACTTCACACTGCTTTTGTTGATATGTCGCGCGATTGCAAAGCATGCCGCGGACATGAGTCGCAGATGTTGAAGGTTGCACTCTATGCCGTGGAGCTGACTGCGCACTTGCCTCAAGTCCCACCCGTGAAAAGTTGTCGTCCGAAGCCTTCTTGACGTCAGGCGATGGTTCGGAAACAACTTTGTGTCAGGCGGGTCGACAGGGTTGATCAGGTTGATCCGAGCTATGTTGTGAAGTGCCTTGCTGGAATGTGCAGGTTGTCATCCATCCGAATCCGAGGAGGCTGTAGACGAGCCTGTCGATATCTGTGAGAGCAATGAGAGGCAATGAGCAGAGTTGCCAATCTCCACAGGCAGCGTACGTTGCTCAAGTGCAAGATATGGTGCTGAGCCCTTAGCGCTGTTGCAAGATACAGGCGCCAGGCTGAACACTTGGTCGTGGCTGCTGGGTATGTCACCCTCTGTGTGCACTCATCCATGCTTACATGTGCAATCACGTGTCTTCACTCAACATCGCCACTTCCTGTACCGGTCCCACTGTCCTACTGTCAAACAGATCGGCAGATCGAAATCTCAGCAGAAAGTGTTGCTTGAGGCTGGAGATCTTGCACCAGGCACTCAGCCAACACCAGCGCGGTTCAATTTGCATCTAGAGTACGGCCATTGCCTTGAGGTCGCCGATGCAGGTGGCCAGCTTCTCAAATCGTGTCGCCTCCGACTCCGAGCTGTCACAGATGGCATGGCATATCATGGCATTCGGGTAAATTCCAAAGGATCCATTGCAGACACGAGCAACACGTTCACGACCGTGCCGGAAGCTTGGCTACGCGAGTCTGGGATGCAAGGCGGATGCGTCATGAACGCAGTCTGTGTACTTGAGCACTGAGGTCCGCAGAATTTCAGGTGAAGGTCCTGATGTGCTGTTTCCCAGGTTTGAGAAGCTAGCAAGTATGCTAATTAGTGCATGCCAGGTTTTCGAGGAGTACCAGAAACTCAAGGAGATCAGGATGAAGGTGGGGAAACGTGTGGGTGTGGAACAGAAACACACACATACACGCGACATGTGAATGAGCCCCATCCCTCAGAAGTAGGTGCGCGTTGTTTCGGACCACCGGAGTGCCATCAGACTCCTGTGCGCATGTCATGGGTAGACGTTGGATTCGAACAGTGAAAGAACCCGAATCCAAGTCCTCGACGTCTAGGACACACCGCCGAAAACCCCCCCCCCCCGCCCCAACCCCGCCCCGCCCCCAACCCCCGTTCATCCACCCTCCCCGCCCAAATGGCCCCTACGTTGCCGTCTACAAGCTGCGAATGGGATTCGCACGAAGGGAAAAAATTCGTGTAGCTGTCGTGGCCCCCATTTCACATACCCATGCCATAGAGAATCTTTGCCAGGAAAATGAGTACAAAGATTTGCTGGGAACTTACAGATTCTTTCCATGGCAAGATGCATGTGCCAGGTTTTTGCCTGCAGCCTGCGTGTGTGGATTCTCAGGACGGTGGATGAGGAACGTCCGCGGACCGAAGGATCGCGTCGGCCCAAGGCGGCAGATGGACGAACGCTGCAGGACACAATGCAGTAAGTTTCTGCGAGCCTTGTGTATCGGATCATGATGGAGTCTTGCAGGAGTTCATTGTGGACAACAGGTGGCTGAAAGCGCAGCTCCTTTGCTCCACGATTTAGGGCAGTCGGTCGGACGCGACATGTGATCCACGTGTTGAGGACGGATGGCCTGAGCTACCGCAACACCAAATCAATGGAGGACTTTCCGTGCTAGAGAAGCAGCTGTCACGAAACCCAGCAGACCTGGGGTTGTGTTGTGTCTTACGTCCGGAAAGCTGCGAGATGTTGATTCTGTCATTTTGGGCTGGCTCGAAACTCACCTTTGTTGCCTCAGCCTATCTCATTATGAGGACCACGACGTCACCCGGCCCGTGGCACCGTGGCCGGGATCTCGAAAAGGTTTGCAAGGAGACAGTTGGGCTACTTACTGCATGCACCGTGCCAAGATTGAGCTTGCAGGTTTTCGGTCGTCTTTGGCTTTGACGAAGAGGATGGCTGGGCAAGGGCCTAAATCTGGCACAGTCTACAATCTACATAAAACTACAACACATGGCTCAGCTGCCAGATGAGTAGACGGCATCGTGAGGTCAAACTGGAGGATGGTAGCTACTTGCCATCCTTTGTGAACGATGTGCCGGTCAGCAGCTTTTCGTCACCGTGTGGGGTTTTTGTAGAAGCTTGCGTCGGCAAGCCCGTCAGAGTTCGCTTCCAAGGTCCTGACCGTGCCACAGGATGATGAGGGTGGACAGTAAAGAGCCTTTCCAAAAGGCCACAAAGACTCAGAGAAGTGCATTTTGCCTGCATCCAGACCATGAAATGGTCGTGAAACGCTCCAAATCTGGGCTGCTCCAGGAGTTGTGCGGGCTAACTCAGGCTATATAGGGGACAACCCCCGTAGCCCCGAGCTCTCGATGCTTTTTTTTGCGAGAGCAGGTGCTCAATAGAATCATTGTGCATTCTGCTCTGCTGCACTGCTTCCCATGTTTGAGAAGTTAGAGAATTGACTTGCACGCTCAGCCGTGGGCCTTTGGCAATGCCCAGAGAACCAGTGTACATGCTCGTGAGGTGGGCCCCCGGCCTGCTATGCAGTGCTGCTGTGAGGACTTCCCAATCTGCTATGTAGCAACGAAGAGCTATCAATTTCCATAGCAGACAGAGTCCGCAAGTGAAGTGGTTTCCTGCCATTCGAGAGCACCAGCTCTGCATTGCAGTGCTTCCAGCTGCAAGGGCGCATGATTTGCAATGTGTCACGGCGTTGCAGTCCTGCACATCTAAAGGTGCGGGGCATGAGATGTGGACTTGTTTCGGCGCAACTTGCAAAAGAATACATCAGCAGGCGCAGGAGTGTGCAGGTGATCAGGTGCATTAAGGTGTCAGTGAAGAGTTCAGGACAAGTGTTCCTTGTTTCACATCTTCGGCGTGTTTCGGGAGGTTCTTTGCAAAGTGCCCGGGGGAATGCTGCTTGCAATGTGTTGTGACATCTGCCCGCATAGTGGAGCAGCGATTGCCGGGCACATCATGGCTCACTTCTGCTCGCTGAAAGCGCGCAGGAAACTGTACAAGGGGCTTGCCCACTTCATAAAGCGGGGTCAGCTGCTTCTCATTGCTCATGGGGTGAAAGTGCGTTTGCAAATTTACCGTACCTTGCATGAGATGACGCTTCTTACTCATAGAGTCTTTGCCATGTCTTGTTCTCATGACGCAAATGGACAGGCAGTGTTTGAGGACGCATGCGCAGTGCATGAAGGTGCATGCCTTCGCCCGGTGCTGGGAGACCGAGACACCCTGTCCTGCTCGTTCTTGTGGTACCCACCTTGGTAGCTCTTCGTTGCGAGACCTTGGATTTGCGCTGGCCTGGTGAGCGCAGTCATTTCGAGAGCGTTTTGCGACTGACGCCTGCGCACATCCTGGCACCTGCCCAGCAAGCTCTGACGTTGCTGAGCTTGCGCTCAGAAAGTTCCAAAGGCCCAGGCAGCTCGAAGCATGAATCCGTGGAAGCCTTGGCCCGGCATGCTGATGCTTTGTCAAA